TTAACCTACCTCTTTATCCTCTAACTTGTATGATTTTCTGCAGTCTGATTCATCTCCCCTCGGCTCCATAGAGAGCCATTGAACTGTCTCAGAACTACTTCTAATACATTTACACCATTACAAAGTGTAAGGCAACTTCTCCTTCAATTGCTGCTTGCCTTCTGCGTGACAGCTGGAATTAAAGTGGTTACACTACAAATGTTACATCAGCCACTTAGAGAGAAAATGCATTGTACTTGTTACAAGACCAGGGCACATTTACAGCCTACTGCTGTACTGCAATATTCTGTTAAAAGAATTGCCTATTGTTGAACAGAGTCTGCTGGCTCTGTGTGCGCTGGAAATGCCACTGCTTCATTAAATGAACTGCAGTCAACATATTAAGTTCATTCCCGTTTGAATTCTTGGCGCATTCAAGATATTTGGAGAGTGAAGCCCTATAGCTGCCGGTGTTACAGTCATGTCTTTAGCTGATCTATTAAATGTTATAATTCAAAACAAGCTCTTTATGGATTGCTTATGATGCATGCTTAGCACATGATTGACCTGACCTTTTACAGACCGTCGTTCTTTGGAAAAACATCAGCCTTAACCTTTTTTAGCTGGATTACCCTGCCAGCGTCTCTGTATATATGTGTGTGTGTGTGTGTGTGTGTGTGTGTGTGTGTATGAACATGCATGTATTAGTCGTAAAATCCATCTAACAACGCCTGCGTCAAATGCTTTTATATGGTTTGTGCCGATGACAAAAAAAAATACATTACTGATTGATTGATCAATCGCGTCTGAAAGGGTATGAGGAGGTGTGTGTGTGTTTGTGCCATGGCTTGATGCAGAATAGAGATTGATGGAGGCTTGCCGTGAGGAGGATGCTCAGTTATCTCCTTGTAATTAAAATCCACCTCATAAAGATTATTGACTCCCCCACCACACAAACCAGCATGCTCCCTCGCTTGGCAGGGTTTGAAAAGCGCTTCTTAAAAAATGAAAAATAGCATATTAAGCAGCACATATTTCCCATTTATGCGGAACATTTAGATGTGGTTAAGTTATCGTAATGTGCAATAAAACCTAGATGTGAAATTTGTAATCCACTTTGGAAAATTGCTTACTATATTGCTTTAACATCCCCTGAAAGAGCTTTTGAGATGTGTGTGCCAGGTTTATTGTACGCTATAATTTAAAAGTCCTCAATGCAGGCGGTAAATATAAATTTATTAGTGGCAGGTTTAAATAGGCAGACTGAGGTAGCATGAGTGAGTGGATGCTTGAGTGTTTTCTGTATGCGAGTACATACTGTGCGTGTGTTTTGTGTGTGTCTTTGATAAATGCCAACTATGAATGTGCTTTCTCTGCTCAACAAACCACAGAGACAGGTGAGTGGGTGTTTGTGGGGTAACTGTCTCAAGACAGCGATGTAAATCTACTCCTTGCTCAGAATGAAACCAAAATAATAAGATGTCAATATTAAGACTTTTAACGTGTCTTATCGGGGGTCAGTATTTTTGAAATATTGTTTTGTCTGTGGTAGACTGGGGACTATTTTCTTCCTCACCCCAGCGCTTTTGAAAGGGCACAACCACTTGTGATACTTATTTGTGTTATTCGAGCATGACAACATCATTTGTTTGTGTTTTTTTTAACAGTCCCTTGTAAAAATGATCATGGACCTACAATGAGAATCTGGCTACACATTGGAGATGGTCAGAAACATGTGACCAGCATACCAATAGATCATAATTTGGCTTCTTTTACTTCTAATTGTTCAGATTAAAATTCATAAAATAAGTGGCAAGGTGACATTGAATGTATTTCTGATGTATCTGTCGGAACATTTCGCCCCTTTGGTTCATATTTCCAGCAGGTGCAGAGCTGCGTCTCTTGGGACAGATTCTCTGTGTGTCCTGGGTTAGTGATTACCCAGGCCTCAAAAGCTCTGGACCCCACAGCCTGTTCCACCGGCTGGCAGGAAGGTGTGTATGAGAATGACTGGACACATGTTTTCAGACTCTTCAGGTCTAAAGTAGATGACAGACCCAAGGTTTTCCCAGTACATGAGTTTGAGCTGCATATGCATATATTTTTAAATGGTCTGCACTTCAGCACAGACAGCTGAAATGTGCACTGCTTTCCTCCTGGGACCCGAGAAAAAATGTGTCTTCCAATTTCCTTTTTTTTATGATTTCCTACCTATTTAGGGTTAAAAAAACATCTTGCAATTTAGACTTTTTTTTTTTATTTTAATTTTAAATGTTACAGTATGTCCACTGTAGAGGACGTCGGGACCATATTAGTTTGAAAAGACAGCCAAAATTAACAGATAGACTATGTAACGTATTATGGTTATAGAGTGATATTAATACAATAATACATTCACCTTTATTTAAAACATGAATAAGTAATTCATCTGAACATTGCTGTTTATTTGGTCACTAAAAAACTAGTTTGGTTTTTGGTGAATCTTTCCAGATCTTCAAAGACTTTGTAGTCAATGTAGTGGGAAAAGTACCTCATTGACTCCAGTCGGCACGGGCTGTAGGGTCATCTTGACTAGTTGTATGGATGTGGTCTCCATTTGACCAAGCTCATAGAAACAAAGCTTGCATTCCTGAGGCAATTCTCATTTTTCATGGCTCCACTTAAAATAAAAACAACAATAAGACATACGTGCTACTCTTGGCCCACAGAGGGACATGTCTTTCCAGCTCGTCCCTATCTGTCTCTCTCTCTGTATCTGTGCGCTCATGGAGCCTCCTGCATCTTTCCCCCCCTTCCTCTTGACCCTCTTCTATTCCAGGTGTGAAATCCTCATCTCTCTCATCATCTGAGAGCTCAACATCTGAATCTCCCTGAACTATCTGGTACAGAAAATGTCTGCTTCAGTTCAGTCTCCTGCAACAATATTGAGTCCATGAAGATGGTCCTGACGTCCACTAGGATGGACATTTATAAAAGAGCTGTTATTTCACAACTTAAATTATGAATTGCTTCAGAACTAATTATATAGTTCCTCACATGTTAATAAACAAGAACACATATGATTTTCATGGTAAAAATTACAATTATTCAACAATATTTGACTTCTCCTGCTTCTATAAGATTTTGTTTTTGGTATGCCAGCCATTTTGGATGAAAAGAAAGAGGAACTTCCAAGCATGCAATTTTAACCAATGACATATCACTGGAAAGACCAGGCTGAGCGACTGTGGCTCAATGGATAGAGTGCTGGACTTTGAATCAGGGGGTAGCAAGTTCAATCCCCACTGCAGTCAGCATGTCGTTGTGTCCCTGGGCAAGACACTTCACCCCAAATTGCTCCTGTGGGGATTGTCCACAGTATTGAGTATGTAAGCCGCTTTGGATAAAAGAGTACACAAATGACATGTAATGTCCTCTGTGTATACATCACGGATTGATAGAGTAGCTCAAAAGAGTAAAAGGAGATGCATGTTAACAAAATGTCTACAGTGGACATTTTCAATGGGCTGGGTCCCAGGAGGATATACAGTCTGATTCCAGCAAATTAAACTAAAAGCATTCTCACTAAACTGTGTTCCTCAGATCAGGGGAAATGTTTTATGAGTGGCATTAAACTGCAGTGTGATCTCATGTGAACTTCAGGCATGTGGCTTGGGTTGAGGTGAGGTTTCCGGACCAAATTGGTGCGACTGAACCACTTTCCCACACGCTGCTGGTGTGTTGGGCTCATTTTATCTCTCGTTTCTTTGCTGCAGAGTTGCATTGCATCTATACTTACATATTGATCTCTACTGTAGTCTAGCTGTGTAAGAGCCAAACAGAAATAGGTATGTTTATCAATCTGACTCCACAAAGTTGTAGTTATTGAAGTAATACTTGAGGTAATAAAAGCTGTTGCTTCTGCTGTTGATAATTCAGTGTCATGCATAAACTGAATGTACATTTAACATAAGGAGCATAACTTAAATATGTTACTATTTCACTTCAGCTGCCACCTGTGGCACTGCACACAGCAGATACAATGGAGCAGGGATCTTTCTTCAATTGCATTATCAGTGCTACATTTGGTCAAACTATATAATTAATAATCCAACCGGCAACAAGGCTGGATTTGAAATGCACATTTGGGGTATTAATTATACCAATTACACGGATTAGGGCGACACCATCTGGTCACAACTTTAAATATTTGACCATGTTTATGTGCAAATGAAGAACTCTTACTGGTTCAGAACATTTTTCCTTAAGTGAGTCCCTTTTCTTTTCTGACTTTAAGGGTATTTCACTTTATATTAAATACATAACAATAAGAGTGCAGAACATCTAATACACTTCACTATGAATCCAGAACAATACAACTGCAGCAGTATGGATAAAGTGAGATGTTTGCATGCATTTTGAGCCGATTTGGGCAGAATCCAGCAGACTGGATCGTGCTGTTCATCCTATGTAATCTATATGTAAAGAAAAAAGTCTAAATATTTAAGATAAAGCTGTGAAACAATCTCAATAATTGGCAGCAAAAATGTAAGATTTTTTAATTGGCATAAAAGGATACATGTTGAGATAGCAAGTTCTAATATCTTAAGAGAAGAGCTTGAAAATTAAAAAATACAAACTCTTTTGGCTCCTTCCTGTCTTTCTGTGTCTTTCTTGGCTTTGTACTGGCTATCTTCTAGCTCTATTCTTGGCTTTGTACTGGCTATCTTCTAGCTCTATCCCTGATCATTTTCAGAACCTGAAGGCTCTATACGGACTATCTTCTGGTTCTCCTCTGGATCCATCCACTATCTCTTGTCTCTGTCCAGTGAATTACACGTTTGTTACTGGAGCAGGTAAAGCATACAACAGATACTTTCAGCATTATCGGAGCACGAAGTGGAAGCTTGGATGAAACACAGCGGACTTCTAAACAATGAACACCCGCAACTTGGAAGAAATAAAGTTGGGTTTAATGCGTTCTAATATTGCAATGCAAACCCATGATGTAATGACAGTAATTAAGAATAATTTAGTCATTGAATGCTCATTTCAGTAGATTTAATCAAACAAAACATAAACATATTGGACATGGCCTCAAGACTGTAACCTCTTCACATTCTGTTGAAATAGTCAATTACTAGCCATATCTTACACATTGCTGTTTTGAATCATTAATATGTGGATGACAGTTGAACTGGATGATGTAACATTTATGCCATCTGAAAGAATACGTATCGCTCTGTTGGCGTCGTTTGGACAACAAAAACAGAGTGAAGCTCTCATTTCATAAACAATCTTTGAGTACAGACACCGTCCTGCAGAGAGCACACAACCCAACAGCACGTTTTTTGGTCTAGCATCACTTTACAAAACGTTTGCATTAAGACACTAAGACTAGCTGGTCCCTTGTAAAGGTCAGTCCACTTTAAATGAGCAGTGGGTGATCAGCAGGTGAAAAGCAGGACACGCGAACTTGGACCTGAGGAGATGTAACTATTATTAAACAAGAAATAGTCGAGTCAAGGGTCAAATAAATGAACATTTGTGATTATTAGCTAATCGGTTGCAGGTGGGTGAAATCAGGCTTAGGGAGTAACGTATTACATGTAACGGCATTAGGTCATCAGGATACAAAATAAGCAAATGTATTCCCTTACAGTTACAGAAGCAAAAACAATCAGATAACAGGTACATTTATGTAAAACAGGGCTCATTAACAGGATAGCAATGATACAAAACATTTAGAAATAAAGAACAATACATCAAATCATCCTATATCTCTATATGGAAGCTTGAAGCCCTCAATCCAAAATAAAATGGTTCATCAACAGTCAGTGGTTAACGTATAGATCAGAAAATAAGTACAAACACATTAAACATATTGTCCACTTATGTTGATAAAGATGGAGTTCATTTAAGTCTTATATGAATGTTGTGCAACAATGTTAATCCAGTCAGACAGATTCTTCTCATGTGTGAACTGTCATAAGATGTATTCATTGTCCTCTCCATCAGCTTCTGTTTCCACGTGTTCAGCTGAGCTGCTGATTGCAGGCTCTGCCTCTCCGTTATCCTCAGTTTGAATTTCATTAAGCTGTGAGGACTGGCGAACACACTTGTGTCTTTTGAAATCACTACACCATTTAAATCTTCGGTCACAAACATTGCAGCTGTATATTTCCTCTCCTGTGTGGACTCTCATGTGTGCCTTTAAACCTCCACTCCATGAAAAGCTTTCTTACAGACTGAGCAGCTGTGTGGTTTCTCTCCTGTGTGGATTCGCATGTGTTGTTTTAAACCTCCACTCCATGAAAAAGCTTTCTTACAAACTAAGCAGCTGTGTGGTTTCTCTCCTGTGTGGGTTCTCATGTGTTCCTTTAAATTTATATTCTTTGAAAAAGCTTTCTCACAAACTGAGCAACTAAATGGTTTCTCTCCTGTGTGGACTCTCATGTGTTCCTTTAAATGTCCACTCTTTGAAAAAGCTTTCTTACAGACTGAGCAGCTGAATGGTTTATTTTCAGCACTACATCGTGGATCACTGACAGATTCATGTCTATTTTTCAGTGAGCTTGAGCCTGAGGCAGGTTCTTTGGTCTCCTTCCAATCAGCACTGTCTTCAGTGTCAAGTTCAGAAGAGTCTCCAGTTTCAGGTTCAGAAAAGTCTCCAGTGTCGTCCTCAGTCTTTGGTTGTAAACTGCTCTCTGGATCTGAGTTCCTGGCTGGTTCTGGTCCTCGACAGTCGTCTCCATCAGCTTCTGTTTCCATGTGTTCAGTTTGTCTTTGATGAGGCTGTGAGGACTGAGGTTTCTCTTCATCATCTTCACTCTTCACAGGGTCAGGAGTGAAAGTGGACTTGGTGATATCAGCCTCCTCCAGCTCCTGAAGCTGCTCTCCCTCCTGACTGATCCTGGGTTCCTCCTGTTCCTGCTTAATGTGTGGGGGGGGCTCTGGGTCCTCCTGGTCCAGACTGGTGCTCCACTCCTGCTGGTCAGGGAGAAGCTCTTCTTTAACCACCACCACCAGCTGGACGTCTGCAGGAAACAGGAAACACACAGTCAGAAAAAACTGTTAAGTGTTAGCATTTAAAAATCTAATCACCATTCAAATTGGAGACATTTTGCAGCCTTTGTTTTATACTTTAATATTATCTTTCTTAGTCCCACCTATTGTGTATTTGTGTTGGCTCAATTCAACTTGTGTAGCCCAGCCCCTTTCCACTTCCAGTTAAAAATGAAAAAGGGTTATTTCTTCTGGTTTAGCACTAGCTGTAATGTAAACAATGAATTGTATTTGGGATTGTGACGGAGCGGGTCACAGAGCGACTGACTCCGCCACTGACAGCCGACACACACACACCAAACATTTCCTGCTCTCTTCCTAAAAAGGAACCATGCAATTTCTTATTTATTTTACGTTTGTTAATTATGGGGAATTATGTTTATGTTAAGAGGTGGTTAACCTGTTTATGTTTGGGTCGGATTTTTATGTTGAAATGCGGTTTTGAGCTAATTGTGTCACCTGTGGACGGTAAGCCTGTGGGAGGGACTATGGGCTCAAAAGGGACAGGGTTTGGCCCTGGAAGACGTCAATCGGAAGATTGTTGCAATGAAGGCAACAGCTGGGACATGTTCGGGAGATGGTTGCAGAGAGCAGCATCTGGTAAACAAACTGGGACCCCTGGGACTCAACACACCCCTGTGTAACTGGCTGCTGGATTTCCTAATAGAGAGACCCCAGTATGTTCGGGTCGGTAACAACACCTCCAGCACCATCACCTTAAACACCGGCTCCCCGCAGGGCTGCGTTCTGAGTCCACTGCTGTTCACCCTGATGACCCACGACTGCTGCTCCAGATTCAGTAACAACCACATCATAAAGTACACGGACGATACAACAGTGGTGGGACTCATCAGGGACAACAACGAACAGGCCTACAGGGAGGAGGTGGGTACGTATTCTTTCAACGTATGTTTGAAATAATTAAAGAATTATTACGTCAACGCACACTTTCGATTACCATCGTATATTGAATGTTCAATTAAATCCCTGATAATGGTAGAAAGTCTTATAACTAAAAGGGGTTCTCAACTACTCTCGCCGGGCAAATCAGGGTTAAAACATTTTATGCCACGATAAAAAAAGCTAAATTACCCTAATGCCATATTTAACAATTACCCGGTAATGTAAAAACGTAAGTGTCATTTATAAATAAGTCATACTATCCGACAGATTCGCTTCAAAAGTTAGGTAAGAGCTGATAAGATTGTTACAAAGAATTGGGTATTTTCCTCAAGTCTACTTGATGTAGAGGGCAGGCGGTGGTGTCGTTGGTTCTGCCGGCAGGTGCAACCTATAAAGTTGAAAAAAGGAACAAGGTCCTTACCCCGCTTTTCTCGTAATTTTTCTCATTTTTAGTGTGTTCAGACCCGTACAACTTCTCGCACATGTATGTGTGTTCCTCAATCAGCCCAAGGTTCTAGGTCGTCGTCTGGGCCGTAAGACCCTAAACCATCGCAAAGATCAACGGATACGCTAATCAGAATATCAAAGTTCCGTCAAAAAATTCTGTTTTTTGACACTTAAAAAACTGTACCTTTAATAAACAATTCTAACTGCGTTTGGTAGTATACACAATTAAGTACCCGCTGTTAAGTTTGCCCTAGCTTTTTATGCACAAAAAAAGAGAGGTAACTGTAATTAAAAAGGCCTTTATTCCAAGGTAAACCTGGCCTTCATCTACCCGCACTGAAGCGGAGAGATACTGCCTGTAGAGCTGTGCTACGCGTAACACGTTTTAGTCGTCCTAACCTTAGCATCAGTGTGACCCAGGTCCAACGCACCAGCAGCGATGCCAAAAGAGAGACACAAGGACTTTTTCGCCTACACACTCGAGGGTCTTGATGACTAGGTACCGTAACCGCACCAACAGCTATTGACGCAACCAAAAAAGGACCTCCGCAAAATGGAGCCCTGCGATATCCTTCGAATCGAATCGTACGATCGAAACCTTGTGCAACCCGTTTGTGATCAGTCTAACTCGCACTACCTCCTCTTTTTCGTCCACACAAAAATTTGGCCCCTCAAACGTCCCTTTTACTCAGATCATTTGTTACCTGCATTCTTTCGAGCGTTTAACGACGGAAAGCAACTCTTCGACCACTAGTGAGGACGCAACCACTTCTCTAGAAACGAAGACCAAAACTTTTTTACTAACCGTCTCATGCTCTCCTCGACAAGAGGCAAGTTTTTCTACCTTTGTTCTCCGTGAGGTCCTTTGATCGAACCTGCGACAAAATGTCGAGTCGAAGCACTATGGTGTTTCTCGCCAACAGACCAAGGGGAAAGTGAGAATTAATTGTGAACTTGGGACCCCACAGGTTTGATGCCGAGTCCCCCGGCCGGGACAGTCGATAAGTTTTGCCATATGTACTTCTATACCCGGGGGTGCTTTAATTCTGAACCGAAAGAGTATAACATCGAAGAATTTATCATATCAAGTCAGGCTATACACTGTGTGCGATCATAAGTACACAATTAGTTCGGGGAAAATTTTATTTACACAGTTAAGTACAACTATTTTACAAGATTTGTCGTAGAATCAAACCTACTTTTTTTCGGAGGTGGTATTGACATAAATCCGGTATTGTTCGAACCTTTCATTCTCCAGATGTATAAAAAGCTACAATAATATTAAGTGAGACACTGAGAAAAAATTCCCTCTCGACGGTCGCGTTCTATTTACTTTGGTGCATATCTCTCGACACTACATCCGAAAAAAAAGAATTTGTATACGTATATACGTACTATATCTAGTGGTATCAGTCGTGTCCATTTTTCCGAGGTGGTCACTGATCGGAAAAGGACGCGAGTTCACTCTTTGTCCTTGAACAAAAGACTTTTTCTTTGGATCGGAGTTGGAGGTCGAAAAATCCTACTAATAACTGACGTTCAAATTTCTCTGTTAGTAAGTTCGGTCTATGGTTCCATAAATACCGATGACGGTACAATACTCCGACTATAATCACCCTATCCAACGTCGTACTGGAAAATCACGGGCGAACCTTGAAACTTAGTCCTCATCCGTTGCAAGCTTCAGGGTGACTCGTGTCTCTACTTAGCATACACTCATGGTGACCCGGGTTCGTGAAGTGGGCTTTCCCGAGGACTAGCCCCCAACGGTGTCATGACTTACATACATTCAGCGAAAACCTAATTTACGCCTAGAATTTTGTTCAGCTTTTGTACATTACAAATCTCCGTGTACCTTTCATACATCTTGGTTTACTGTTAGTGTTGAGCGTTGACACAGTTCAATTATACTGAATTTATCTTACACGTCCAGTATGCTGACCTGAGATGTTCGACTCTAATCGTTATATTTTAATATTACTTTATATTCTATCTTTATACGTATTAGGATATACTAATTCACTTTCGCATTTTCTTTTTCAATGTTATTTGAATTACTAAGTTTAAGAAAAAATGTCACATGGACAAAGTCTTATTACGCGAACCAACACCTTGTATTATAAACCGGTTAATTAGTGCCGTCGCAAAACTGGACTCAAAGAGGACCATACTTTTTGAAGAATCATATTCGTCTCCTTCTTTCTGATACTTTGCCACTCGTATGTTTCCTGCTCGCACCGATCGTCGTCGACAAGGTAAATTTCGTATATCCAGTGTCTTACAGTCGGAAAACCTTGTCCTTGACCTTTTATCCCCCATACTCCGTACCGATGTTTACCACTAGACAAAACCATAGAATCGTGTTTTTTATATGTTGTCTGTACAATTATACATATCTTATACCGTGTATGTTAATACTAATCTATCATATATTGATATAGATATCCGCTATTTTTCTACACTGGACATCTTGTTAGGGGACACTGCCTTTCCGTAAGATAATCAGGTCAGGCTTGTTGACCGATCTTGCCAACCTCAACTTCAGGTTTTGATTATTTATAAATGTTCGTTGTTTATACTTGCCTTGGTCGTGTTGAATTTGTTGTTTTTATTTAGGTTGTCGTCGGTAGTGAGTTACTGAATCTTCTTTATGTTGTACGAGATCCACAACGTTTGAAGTTTATCTTGATCTTGATCTACATCTGACCTGTATGAAATAACATTAAATTGGTTCTGTGTCACACCATGATACCCATTTCTTGTTTTAAAGTCAACATGACCAATGTCCTTGTCCTGTTATATTTTTGAAACGATTTTAACATGTATGATTTATTCTAATTACCTCACTCGCACCGCCACGACTAATTTTACATGTTTTCATTCACACGCAAACTTTTATATTTCTGATGTATGTATATTTATTTTATCTGTATGATATATGTTTTATACACGAGAAATGTGTCGACATGTACATTCAGAAAGTACCAATGACCAGATGAACGGACAAGTCGGTCAGAACGTACCGTACCCCGCTTCTGCGATAACGTCTTATTGACCGCATAAACGGAGAATTCGCGCTTGGATCGTCACGGTCTCGTCGTCCCTTTGTCTCGTACCACTCCTACTCACCCCCAGACATTTTTACAAGACCCGAAAACAGTCCCTCGGGCAAAAAAACTCCGCCTGACGAGACCCTACCTCCCCTCTCTTTGTATGTGTACTAGAAGAGACGCAGGATTGGTGCGGAGACGGGAGAATCGCAACGTCAGAGAGCTGGTCTACCTCTACGGCGACCAAGTCGTCGCGAGAGATACCAAGGAGACATCTTGCACCGACTTACCTCCCTCGACATGAGAGGCAGTTCGGACGCGCTCCTTCACATCCGCGACGACACGGAAGACATTTATCACTACATCATACGTCTCACTGGTCCGTCTGACGCACCACTCCTACGTGGGGTCCTTGAAGCCACGACAGACTCACAGGAAGTGGACGACACGAGCAACACTCACACCTCACCACCCACTGCGTCAACGAAAAAAAGGACTTCCCAGCCTGTTACTCAGAGCCAAAACAAAATAGCTGGTAAGTCCTGAGTCGCACAACCACAAATGTGGTCAGACANGCTATGGAGGAGTTCGGCTATATAGGCCGGAG